CTACAGAACAAGCTAAGTTCTCAGAGACAAATTAAATTAATTTGAATTTGGAAACAAAGTAGTCACTTTATACTCTTCACAACAATCAATGTTTAATTCAGCCTTACAAATCTATCAGCCTTGACACAAAGTTTATTTGCCCTCTTTTAAAAAAAAAATAATAAAATAACCTAATTATTTTATCTGTTACGGCTAAAGGTCCAGCAATCATATGATTTTTATGTAATTAATGTCTTAAAGCTGCACACCTGAAGAATACTCAGTTTTTCGTCCTCCTTTAAATTATCTAGTCATCACACACCATGTTTCAGAGCACACCCATTCTTATCTTCCCCCCCTACTGTATTTTTCTGCCACTGCATAGATTTGACTTTTTGGAACAGGAAAGAGGTGAAATCTAGCATTTACTGTGAAGTGAGTTTACAGTGCTACCTATCTGCCTTATTTGTTATGGGAACATCCTCGTAGATGCAATGGCATCTATGTACAGATGCTTAATAAGGTGTATCTTGCTGGAAAGACATACTTTTGCCAGCCTGGGTTTTAAAAGACACTCAAATTCTACATTCTAATTTGGGCTCAAGATGACACTTTCTTCACTGATCTTGAGAAACAATTTAAGTAAGACATTTGATTTAAAGTGAACTGGTCAGTTGTTGAAGGATTTTAGAGAGTAAAAGTAGGCTGGATATACTGGAGCAACATAGAAGTGGATGGAATTCTCATTTCTAGTTTCCTCTGGGAGAAAGCAGTCCAAAATGATGGCACTCCAGAAAGGTGTAAATAAGAAAGGCAAAAGGAAAAAAGAGAAAAAAAACCCCAGTAAAAATTATCTGATCTTAAAGGTGACATCATAATGAGTGAGTCACATTCACTCTTCAGTCAGGCCCCAGGCCATGTGGCAGTTCAGGAGGAAGCAAGAAAGCATATGGCCCTGCCATGTGTAAATATCGAAGCACAATTCCCTAAAATTAGCATTTTTACTTCCAAACCATTTGTAAAAGCTCCACCGAGCCACCCTCCCAATCTAACACACAAGAATCTGGCAACCTTCTAACATGTCAAATAAAGGAATATGCTAACATCTACTATTTTTGTAGATGACTATGACTATAAAAGCTTCAATTAAAGTCTAGTCTATATTTAAATTTTCTAATTAACAACAGGACCTCAATTTGAACATACATTCTATAACGATGGGGCTTGAAAATGTATCTGCTTGGGTTTAGTGCAATCGCTTGGATTTCTTGTTTGCTTGGGTCTGGGTTGTTTGGTTTGTTGGGGTTTTTTTTTGTTTAAAAACTAAGTAATTTATGGAGCAGCTGTATCATCTTTACCAGTTAGGAAGATTTACTGGTGATGGTAAGACTCGTCCTTCAGTTTTTGGTTTTGGAAGCCTGTTTTCAGCTACCTTCTATTTTGCTTTGGTTATTCATTTACAATTTGAGCAGTGTGCTGGTGCCTGTACTTTAATCGAGGCACGTTGCTCTGTTCCTTGAGAAAACTGTAAACAGATGAGCATTTGGATTTCAAACCCAGAAGTTACTTCTGAGAAGCAGGACTGTGAATCCCATGTATAAGTCAATAATGAGCTAGCAGTAATCAGATTTGGGATGACTCATAGAGGCAGATGAATCAACTCCATCTCTTCTTTTACAAAATGGTGACAGAATTGCATCAAAACCTTTTCAAAGCTCACCAGATTTCACCCCCATTATAAAGTGAAAAGGGCAAATTACACGTTTTTGTTAAATAGCTTTTCTCTCAGATGTCCTGAAGCCTTGCGCGGGATTTGATGCACTGTATCTGGCTCTCCAACAGCCATTAGACAGCTTAACGCTGAGACCCTGGGCCCCAAAATGTCTATCAATTAGATCTGCAAATACATCCACTTATTCTTAGTACGAATGCTGATTTTAAAAAAAGAAAACAATAGCCATCCAAAGCTGGAAAATGTGGTTATAAATATTGAAAGCAACACAATTTTTAATATGATAAAATGAAACAAGTTTTGGTGGACACTTTTGGATTGTTTGGGGTATTCTCTTTCTTTTTGTTTTGTTTTAATTTCCACCCATGTGAAACAATCCTTGGAGAGTTTGAAGGACATTTTAAAATGAGATTTTACATACAAAAATAAAATGAGCCCTGTAAAATAGTAGCCATGAAATAGGTCTGAAGGATTCTATTAAAAAAATACAGTGTAGATGTACTTCTAAGATCACTTAATGGAATGTAAATGTGATCAATGTTGCTAATAAAAGGAGATTTGTAACCACTTAGAAAGAATGGAGGTGACACGATTTGCCACCAGGAGATGAATTTAATAACAGTAGAACATACCAAACTTTGTGAGGGCCCAGTTGGGGAACTGCAAGCAGTTTTTCATCAATATGGGTGGGAGGGGGTGAAGAGGGATTAACAAGGAAAGAATTTTCTACTATAAGTGCAGAACATTGTGCTAACAAGTTCTCCAGGGA